AGTAGATGGGGGGGCAGGGTCCAAGCAGCAGGGGGCACTTACTTGCCTTTGTGCTCCCCACTGATCCCAAGCACAGCCTCCTGCTGCTCCCATTGTTCGGATTCTGGCCAATGGGAGCAGCAGGGAAAGCCTCCAGGCAGTACATCTGTGTACTGCTGTGGCCCCAGCCAGGGAATGGGGAGTGGCAGTGCACAGAGCCACTTCTGGCTCCTCTTCTTCCCCGCAAACCAGATCCAGTGGGGAGGCTCGGGATTTTCTCTTCCACCCCCTTCCCACCCTCCTCCCCAGCAGGAAGCTGGAGGCTGGAGCACCAGCGTGGGCTCCCCACTGGCAGGGGAAGGAAGGGAGAGAAAGAAGGAGAGCAAGAATGTGGATTGAGCTTGAATTACGGACCACCTTCAAGGCATCCATGGACCACTAGCGGTCCACAGACCCCACTTTGAAACCCACTGTTGTATAGCGTTGCTATTAGAAGTTCAGGAGTAATTATACAATTCTGCTGAATATTATTAATCAATTGGATGCTCACATTTAAATCAGCTTATGATGGCAGTCAAATATTTTAATGTCTTGTGAAATGTTCCCTCTAATATTTTCCACCCACGTGCAAAATAAATTTGTTACATCTGTGTACTGCTGTGGCCCCAGCCAGGGAATGGGGAGTGGCAGTGCACAGAGCCACTTCTGGCTCCTCTTCTTCCCCGCAAACCAGATCCAGTGGGGAGGCTCGGGATTTTCTCTTCCACCCCCTTCCCACCTCCCCCACAGCAGGAAGCTGCACTGGCATTCCAGCCTTGCAGGGGGGGCCACGAGGCTGGAGCACCAGCGTGGGCTCCCCACTGGCAGGGGAAGGAAGGGAGAGAAAGAAGGAGAGCAAGAATGTGGATTGAGCTTGAATTACGGACCACCTTCAAGGCATCCATGGACCACTAGCGGTCCACAGACCCCACTTTGAAACCCACTGTTGTATAGCGTTGCTATTAGAAGTTCAGGAGTAATTATACAATTCTGCTGAATATTATTAATCAATTGGATGCTCACATTTAAATCAGCTTATGATGGCAGTCAAATATTTTAACGTCTTGTGAAATATTTTAATGTCTTGTGAAATGTTCCCTCTAATATTTTCCACCCACGTGCAAAATAAATTTGTTTGTGCCAAGGCACGTGTGAATGTGCACCACCAGCAGAAACAAAAAACCTAGTTGGGGGTGCTCTGCTAATCCGCTGGGCAGCATTTGAAACTCTCCTGAGCAGCCACACAAACGCACAGCTCACAGGGAACACTGGTTGTGTGCTACAACAACAAATCTTTTCAACAGACAAAGTTTGGAT